CTTCATAAACGGCAAAAGCTGAAAAGTTTACATTTTCATTTGGAGCCGATGTGTAAGTTGCTTGCATAAAAAAAATTTTTGCTCCAATACTTTTAAAATTGTGCTAAGCCGCCCAGCTCTCCCCACCTTTATCTGTGAGAAAGTGGTCTGACAGGATCCAAAAAAACAGGCCGAAACTTTTACACGGTGCATTACGCAAATATGTAAGGGAGGATTTTCCCACAACCTGTGCAGGCATGTGTGCCATGTGGGCGTACACGTGTCCACGTGTGTGCGGGTGTGTGTGCAGAATCTCGCACGTCTTTTGTCATGCCCCTGAGTGTCAGAGTACCAAGGACTATGAATGGAAGTGCTGGGTCATCTTGTGGTCACATCTCTCAAAAAAAAAAACTCAGCCCTGCACTGTACATGAGTTAACTCCCTCAGCTGCAGACTCATTATACAGCTATGAATGTTAAGATGTAACATTTATGAAAAAGCGAAGTTTTATTACACACATCTGTAACCTAAGAACAGCTCAACCAGTTTGCACTGAAGTCCCTGTAGTTACTGAATTATAAGCCTTATAAAAGGCCTGGGATGTTAAGGGGTTAACTGAGTTGAATTGTGGACCCAATTGGGCACTTTCAGTCAAAATGGTTAAGGTTCTATATACTGTATTGTGCAAAATTTCCTGTCCATTGGCCATTAGCCCCTTTAACAAGCCATGTATATATAAAAGTATATATATATAATATATAAACATATATACATGTATATATAAAAGTATATCTTTATACTTTTATTGTTTATTCTATTTAAATATTGTTTGTATATTTCCTGCTGCTCTGTCTTCTGTGCTGCTGTAACACCGCAAATTTCCCCGTTGTGGGATTAATAAAGGATTATCTTATCTTATCTTCATTACACACTTCTATAATTTAGGAATAGCTCCATGAATTTGCATTGAAGCCCCTGTAGTTACTGAATAATAATAATATGAAATAAACCCAGAATGTTTGAAAGATGAATGTTTGACACTCTGAAAGATGGTTCCTCAAGGGTTCTTTAGTAAATAACTCTTAAAGAGCCACCTTTTTTATTGTACAAAGTTGCAAAAGCAGAAAAAAATATATTTAACAGAAGATTACAGAGAATCAGCTAAATATTGTATCAACTATCCATCCAATTTCTTTTCAAAAGCATCTGCAGGAATATTTTTCCAAACTTCCACAGTTCAGTCTTAGAAGTTGTTTGATCATTTTCTGAAGTAATCCAAACACATTCAGTGATGTTGAGGTCTGGACTCTGGGGTGGTCAGTCCATTGTTCAGCTTCTTTGTTTGATGTGTCTGTCTCCTTTTCTCAGTGAGGTTCTTCTTGACAGCTACACATCCTTTCAGACCCACAGCGCTGAGTTGTCTTCTCACAGTGGAAGGATGGACAGAAACACCTTTGGATGTTTTCAGTTCTGAAGCAGCTTGATTTTCTCCTCTCTCTCAAGATGAAAGCTTTAAGTGCTGTTTGTCTCATGGGGGCAGTTTTGGTATCTACCAGGTCTTCCAGGTGGTTGTTAGGAGGCACATTTTCTCTGTAGCTTTTAATCAGTTTTTGGGAACTGACAATCTTTCTTTAGAGTCAAAGTTGAGCAAATTAGACAAATACGGTTGTAACACAAAATAAAGCAGTTAATCGTTAAAATATTTTTGATGGTTTAAAAGCCATAATATAAACACATTTTGTTATTGACGGACGCTCAGGAACTCGCACTGCGTGCACACATACAAAAATAAACGCACAGTCGTCGTAGTGTTCTCCTCTCTTAGGCTTCCTATTAAGCTTCATTGAAATTCTGCGCGCGCAGAGACTTGGTGTTAATCAAACTGGGGCTAGTGTTTACTCTCACTCATCCACTCGCACAAAAGAAGAACCAACAGGAGCCATCTCATATCACCATCACTCTCTCACTGACCTGAGAAGACTTCCCTCGCTCTTTCTTTCTTTCTTTTTCTCACTCACTTTCTCTCTGCTCTCTCTGACACTCACTTAATCTCTCTCTCTCTCTCGCTCTCTCTCTCTCGCTCTCAGTGCCTTTTCATTTGCCCCTTTTCTCTCTCTCCGACTCCATGTCCCTCTTTTCTCCCTCTCCTCCTTTCTTCTGAATCAGTCTTGCGTCTTATATGGAGAAAATTTGCCCATTATGTGAAATGCTCCTCGACAATACGCTGAAAAAATAAAGGCCTTGAGGTGCAGCAGACGGCCTGCAGAACTTTAAATGTCAGAATCGTTTTTGGAGGCACCTTAATGCCACTATACCGGGCCTGTATGCCACATTTAGGAAATGTATGTAGCCCTGTTTAAAAGTGGAGATGCAGTGGATTCTAGACATTTTTATAGGCATGTGCTGTAAATATGTAGGTCTACATTAATATTCATGACTGTTCAGATCCTGTGATGAGAGTTATGAATGTATGACACTTGAATCATTTGGAATCCGTTGCTCTAAAGCTTTGCACAAACGTTAACCCTCTGATGTCTAGTTTCTGCACTGGTTTTGCTACGTTTACATGTAATTACATAATTGCAAACATAGTTACATAATAAATTACATTTAGATTTACATTTACATTAGGGCCTGACCAATATAAAACATTAGAACAGTGATGAGAAACAGTGCTATACTGACTGACATGATTGCCAGTTAGCAATAACGTTTGTCAAATATGATTCTCAGTTCTCAATTTTAAAAAATTTTAAAGTAAAATAAACTGCAGAACTCACAAAGTCCTACATAATGTGTATAGTATAGATTTCCACCATTCTTAGTATTTTTTGGTTTCTGTTAATTAGTAAAGTTTAGTAAATTAATCAGTAAATTCAAGTTGGCACTGAATTTAAGATGGCAGTGTATTTAAGATATCATTAAATTTAAAGTGGCAGTGTATTTAAGAAATCAGTCAATTTGAGCTGGAAGTGAATTTAAGGTGGCACTAAATTTAAGGTATCAGTAAATTTAGGGTGGCAGTGAATCTAAGGTGGCAATGTATTTAAGATATCAGTAAATGTAGGGCGGCATTGAATTTCAGGTGGCAGTGGATTTAAGGACGCAGTGTAAGGTAGCACTTAGCAACACATTACCATCGACCTTGGATTCCATAGCAACTGCCTAGCAACACTTTAGCAACCATCAACAGATCTTCTGCCATTAATTAATTAAAGTAATTAGCTGGCTTTTTCAAGCCAACTTAAAGTTTCTAGTTAGTATTTTGATTACTTTTCCGCTTTTTTGTTTGGTTGTTCATCACAACATAAAACAAGGCTTAAATACTAATATTTTATGGGTTGGAAATATTGATAAATCCATGGACATAATTTTGGTAGTATGAGTTTATTAGCCAAATGATATATCATATTTTGGGGGTAGATGATATTTACCGTATTTAGTTGTGTCCAGTTCCTCCTGCCAGCTAGAACTCCCGCTATCACATGATGCTACCAAGCTGGGAGGGTAAAGGCTAGAATGTGCTTCCTCCAAGGCATTTGAAGATCTACCACATCTTTTCAACCTGTCACTAAGGCAACCTCAATGAACATCTCAAATAGCTAACTGCTAATTCTGTTGTGTTAGCTAGCAGACGCTCACGCTGGTTAGGATCCCATCACAATGCTTAGTTGGTTGTGCTTCTTAGGAGACACTGTCAATCACAAACACTGTCCTACTTAAAGTTTAGAATCTGCACTTTCCACAGAATTTCTCTCTCGTTTCAGGGAGCTGTAAGTGAGAAACAATGTATATAAAATTAGGTAAGTGATTTCTCTGGGTTTCTCTAAAAACATGTCTCAGATATAATGCCAAACAGTACTGTTGTGTCTCCTGTAGGTCCTTCAAGCCTGACTTCGTGTTGGTCCGACAGCACGCGTTCAGCATGGCCCAGAACGAGGACTTCCGCAATATGATCATTGGATTGCAATACGCTGGAATTCCTAGCGTGAATTCGCTGGAGTCTATTTACAACCTCTGTGACAAGCCATGGGCGGTGAGTTCCCTCCCTGTGCTGATGCTGTTTGGATGGAAAAAGTCTCTGAAACCTCTCCACCCTTTGTTAAATTCAAATTAAAAGACTATAAAAGCTGTTTCCTCCCTATGTGACTGTTTAGCCCTGTTTTATGGAGATAATAACTTAGCTATCTAGAGAACTACTAAGTTGGCAAGCTATAGCTAGCTATGACATTACTAGTGGGTACTTCAAAAAAACCTCTTCAAACTTGAAAAGTAGGCTGTGATTGAAATTAGCTTGGCAATATTACTAAATTGTTTGCTCTTTTTTCTTCATAAGTGACAAATTGGTCTCCAAAATGGTGACTTTACAGGAGAAGGGAAGCGTTCTTACCTTTTGATGGAATTGAATGCAAGACTTAAATGGAGATTTTGGCCTAACAGTGACATTATACTCAATTTTTGTAAAATAACCTAGATTTTTATTTTGAAATACAGAATCTGTTTTTTTCATTTTCAGATATTTTCACCACACCATACATAATTAGCGCTAAATTTTATACAATCACTCAATTTCAACAAAATGTCAGAACTTCTTTTTGTTAGTTATTAGGTAAAAGACTGTAAACACTGAAAGAAGCTATCTACATCTGTCCAGATGGTCAAAGGCCAAAGCTGAAGGTTTGGCCAGTAGCAACATTTTGGCCAGCTGATTTATTGATCTGAGAAAAGCCAGTTAATTGAGATTAGTAGACTGCTTTGGAGACTTTTCCAATCAATATCTGCTTAGGGTAAATCATTATTTGGGTCCTGCTGACTTTCAGTCATATTGGCTGATTCGATTAGGCATTTAAGAAGCTGCTGTTGGCTTTGTATGTTTTAAATGTTCCCAGTATGTTCCACTAAAATGTGTTTTTGTTTCCTCAGTTTGCTCAACTGATAAGCACCTATAAGAAGCTGGGACCTGAGAAGTTCCCCCTTATTGAGCAAACGTTCTACCCAAACTACAGGGACATGGTAAGAAATACCAACTCAGTGTCATTTATTAAAAATAATAACTTCTGTATAGTGGGAATGCCTATTCTAAACAAGTGATGATGATGATGATGAAGCTAAAGATGTCATTTTAGAGCAGAAATCAGACATTCTTTTCATGAGATCATGAGATGTCATCATTTTTTGGTACAGTAAAATAGAAAACTATGCATAGCCAAAAAATACAAATTCATATAGAAATACTGGTAACACTTTACTTAATAATACATGCATGGTACAGTATACGTGTGGGGCTTGATGTACAGTGAACACGTCATTGTAGCAGGAGGTGGTAAAACTCTTTAGCAACAGTGCTATAGGATATTATAGAGGGGTTTTGTATAGAAATAGCAAAAATGATACCATGGCAAGTAAAATCATCTCATATCTAATGAACATATCTAATATTTATCATTTTCAGATTACTATATATATAAGATTATTTAACCTTTTAGACATTTTTGCTTGTTTTAAGCAATTTAAGTAATATTAGTGAAATAATTTCACTATATTAGCAGATAATTTTGCTTATTTAAAAGAAAATTATCTACAAATACAATGAGAAGTTTTAGAACAAGCAAAAAAGGTCCTCAAATATATTAAAAAATGTTACAGTAAACTTACAGCAATCTCAAAATGATATATGCACTATATTCACTAGATATAAAATGATTTTACTCGCCAAGATATAATTTTTTGCAGTGATGTTGTTTTACATTATAGTTTTAATGTTAAGTAAAGTGTTACCAGAACACTTTTTTATGTATGTGTAATAATTAGCAACAGAAACTTCAAACGCAGATCTCTATCAGATATGTTAAAGCAGAAACAAAGCATTAGCTTTTTGGCACAAGAAAAATCTTACATTGGCTTAACAGTATACAATACTTTACCAAAAACTTAGCTACAAAGATTCAGATATACGAATACTGCATTTCTACTGCAAAAATGTAGATAACATGAATATAGACTTTAAACACACCATAACATAGCTTTGCAAACAGATACTATTGGGCTAACTAACTGGGTGGGTATTTAGAAGCATTCACAAAAGTATTCTCTGTTGGGGTGGTCAGAAACTTTTACAGTGTATCAATGGCAGGTGACTGAAAACTTGCAAAATGGAGTGGAATTACCATACAAATATATACATTCTCACAGGACAGAAAACTGAAAGAAGATCCCAAAACATTATAAATATGCATATATCTGACACATGATTTAAAAAAAAAAAGATTTCTGGCATAAGAAAAGTTGGTAACACTTGACCATGGGGCAGTGTTTATAAGGCTACATGAGCTAGCCATGACAACTGTCATAAATCTACGTAAGCATTTATAAAGGTTTATTCCAACAGGCAGGTGACAGTTTTTTCTGACACTGGGTTGTGTTATGAAACTTTTTTGGGGTGAAATGCCATTTTAATATCATAGAGCAACTGACTTTGTAGCATAGTGTATGCTATATGGCCAAAAGTATGTGGACAGACCATCAGGAGTTCAGGTGTTTTAGCTACACCCATTGCCAACAGGTGTATAACTCTTCGTACTGAAGAGTTCAGTGACTTTAAACATAGCACTGTTATAGGATGTCACCTCTGCCACAAGTCAGGTTGTGAAACTTCTGTCCTGCTAGATCTGCCCCTGTCAACTGTAAGTGCTATTACTGTGAAATGGGAGCATCTAGGAGTAACAACAGCTCAGCAATGAAGCAGTAGACCTCGCAAACTCACAGAGTGGGGCTGCCAAGTGCTGAAGCACATAGTAACTATCCTCTTTTGCACTGTAGAGTTCCGAACTGCTTCTGGAAGTACAAGAACTGTGAGCTTCATGAAATGAGTTTCCATGCTGCACACAAGTCTAAGATCGCTATGCACAAACGTTGGAGTGGTGTAAAGCAAATTCCATATTAGGTCAGATAGCTTTGGAATGTGTCCAATAAACTTACATAGGTATGATTTTTAAGTGTCCACAAACTTTTGGCCACATAGTGTATATCACAGTGATATAATGCATTCACTTTACCTAACGGCCACAGAAAATACTTTTGTTAAACCAGACTGACTTGGCAAGCTATATTATCAGCTATATTAAATCACTGTGACATAACCTGAGCTACAATGTCTATGACATTTCACCCCAGATAGTGTCATGACCTAGACGTGTCAACTTGACATCAGTTGCCAGGTCAGCAAATGCAACCTATATGAGAAATGACGCCTATGAGAATAAGTGTTCATGTAGGTTTATGTCAGTTGTCATGCAGGACTTATGTAGCTGTGTAGCCTTGTGAGCACTGCCATACAGCAAATATTACCAAAATTGATTGTAGAAATAAATCAAATGAAGTTATTTGAAGTTGACTAGAAGGCATAACCATGCTGTTTTCCCTAAAAACATTCCTGCCTCAGCTGGGATAGGTACCCACAGACGCTCCCATCCAACACTGAATTTCAAACAAGTAAGAAGTGAAAGTGAATTACAAGCACTCTGAAACGGTTCACTCAGTGGTGAACTACGCAGCAAGCATACAGTATCAGTCTTACATTCATTCGAGTGGCCCAGCTGGGCCGTAACACACCTTACTAAGAGATGCACTGACAGCAGAGTTCTACAGACCAATAGAAAACCAAGGGCATCGCCCTCACCGACATTGCCTAAAATTTTTTTGTGAGCTGTGTTTCCCCCCCAGAAGCATTGAGTCCTCAGGGGTCAGACGCGTCCATGAAATCGTTGTCAGGAGAACCGCTCCCCCTGTACCAGCTGCACGAGCCGTCGCTGCGTTTGATGCAGGCGTACTGGCGGGCCTGTTCTCTGCTCCGCTTGTAGTCCAGAAGCCAGTCCGTCCATAGGCACTCATTTACAGAGGCGGTACAGCAGGGGGCCGTGTAACAGGTGGAAATCTGGAGAAAGTATAAAGTTAAATTAGATGTCTGTAAAATAAGCTACTGTATTGGAAATTGATACAAATAACTTTCTGTGGACCTTCATCAGAGGTCAGTAGTAAATAAAAACCAAAAAACTGTCAGAACAAAACCTTGCATCTCCATTTCTACCAATTTTTTTTCACATTTTTCACATAATTAGAAGACGCCAGCTGCCGTTTACACTATGTAAACCTTATATGATGAATGGACCAATAGAAATGGCCTAAATTGACTTAGGATAATGTCTTGTTCCATTAATTTTCCATGAAAATGACTTTTTTCCTTCTCTTCTAAAGTTTTTTTCAGGATATAACATTAACACTGTTAATGTTAACACTGTTATTCCAACAGTGATGACATCATCACTGTTACAAGAAAATGTATCTCTCAAATTGTAACTTTTACACATTTTACATATGTCACCATAATAACTTTATTAGTAATAGTAATATTTTATTGATAATAAGTAATTTGGAGCATTTCAGTTGGTCCATTAATAAATGGTAGTTGTTTTTAAATGTTGCAAAAAGAATACAAAATGAGAAGAAATGTAGTTATACTGCTAATACATGACAGTGACTATATATATATATATATATATATATATATATATATATATATATATATATATATTACAGTATATTTCAAAACTATATAACCATTACATTTTTCTTTTACAGTTACATAAATGCCTCAGGAAAAAGTCTGAACGTACTGTGCAGTCGCAGCCCATTTGGTATCTGTAGTTGAGGTTCTTTTTCTGAGCCAGTGAGAGGTTGTCCCACGGCTCAATGAAGTCACACAGACCAATCGAGACTTTCCCTTCACTCCACATGTTTCCTGTGACACAAACAAACAGAAAACAATACATAAATGCATAGTGCATTGCAGACTGGCTGCTTTCTTTTGATGCTGGGAGTTAAAACCCCCCTAAACTATTATTGTGTTCTGTGAGCATCTGACATATGGATGTTTCTGATGAGTTTTGTATGGGTGTCTGGATCAATCAAGGATTACTTTCTGTGGATCAATGAAATTCACATGATCCAACAAACATAAATACAAGAAAAATGCAAACCAGTCTTAAATTACAGAACTTATCAGTGTTCAACTGTAAGGCGTATCACAATTGCTTTACAGAGCAATACAATTTAAACACAGTCTGGGTTATATACAGTATGGGTGCAGCCTTTGGCCTAAAACATTAACCCCACCTGAAAGCAAATATTGAACCTTGTTGCTTGCGTCCAGCTTAACGCCACACAAAGAGGAAAAGACTGGAGTGTAGACGTACTGAATGTCCTTCACTTTGTCAAAACCTTTGAACATCTGAAAGCATAAAGGGGGGAAAAGAGAGAAAGATTGCAGTTACTGTACTGTTTTTTCAGCTGAACTGTGGTCTTTGAACAAAGAAAATTAGAGGTGATACCAGTCCAGTACCAGGTATTGGTATCAAGACAATGTCAGCAGAGTGTACTGGATCGGATATCAGAATGGATCTTGTAACAAATCTACTCACTGTGATGTTGTAAGCTGTAGTTCTTTCTGTGGGGTAGTCGAGTAACTGAATAGTTTCAACATGATAGCGTATTTATAGATGCTTCAATGAAATGCTTCAATTAAAAAACAGTTCATTTTGAAGCTTAGGGCTTTAACCTCTTTCCACTATTGGCCAATTCGTTGGCAGACTGGAAAAACAAAAACATCCCCCTAACTCTGTGATCAGATGAGCTACACTCTTTAAAATGGTTCCTCGAGGGTTCTTTAGTAAATAAAATGGTTCTGTGTAGAAAAATGAACTCTGGGTTCTTTGTATAATGAAAGATTGATGGGGAATGTGCTGTGGATGGTTCTATATAGCACCAAAAAGGGTTCTTCTATTGTAACAAGCTTGATATCATAACAATAGAAGAACCCTTTTTGGTGCTATACAGAACCCTTTTCAAAAAGGTTTTATGTAGAACCATCTATAGCATATTCTCCATCAATCTGAAGAACGTTTCATGACTCAAAAACCTTTTCATGCAAAAGGTTCTTTGAATGTTCATGGTTCCAGGCAGAACCATTTTCTTTACTAAAGAACATTGAAGAACCAATTTTTTATAAGTGTGTTGTCTCTCTGTGTGTGAAATGTTGTGATTCAGTGTTGAGCTGCTAGTGAGCAGTGAGGGGCGAAAGGGAAGGGGTCAGACCCCCTTCTGTGAAAACTATTCACACCTCTCCACAATGATGGCAAGATCAAACACACATCTGCAGCTTTTTTCATATCAAACAGTCAAAAATTAGATCAGTTGTAAATTAGGCTGATGATACATCGCTTCTAAGATAAATTGAGCCACTGAAGTGTTTTGGGCTTTAACTGTCTGGGGTCCACCTCAATATTTCTATATCTGTGTCTTATATCTTTGTGATGACACAGCGCAGAAATACGGTTCATACATTTCCAGAATCTATAACGTCACATCCGGAGTTATCAGCCTATGAAGAGGGGCTGAGATACACGTCATCTGCCTCTCACCGTGTGGAACTGGTGGATTCATGTGTCCATGTACATTTCGTGTGAAACTGACCTATGGACACATAGGATATCACTAAGGACTGACCCATCATGCCAGAAACCCCTCATTCTTCATTCAGTCCACATCGGAGTCTCATGAGAAATGGCTTGCAGAGAGTTAACAGCTGCTGAAGCTGCTGCAGTGGTTTTGGAAAGTAGTGATGAAGATAACAGAGCATTTTGATATGAAACATATAAGTATCATATTATATAAAGAGTCTTTCAAGAAGATTTTAAAGGGAATTTTAGAAGATATGCAAAATCAGAGGGTTAATGCATGTAAAGAAGGGAGCCACCTTATTCACTTATTGGTAAGGCATTCACTTCTCAGCATGCTTGCCACGAGGGACAAAGAGCCATTTCATTTACATTAAAAGGCACTGATTCTTAGTAGCTTGCTTGGATTTTTGTTCCATTTGTTTTATCACTCAAGCTCAAAGTGTAGCCTGAAGTCCTCACTTGAAGCTGCAGATATGGTGAAAGCCAAGAATCCAACACGCTGAACAAATCTGTTCTATAATTTATAGACTTCACACTAATATCGAATGAAGCCCTAGGCGCTCCCTGTTTTCTTCACTTAATGTAACGGCTCCAGCAGAGACAAGAACCATTTTTCAATCTTCTGCAATCCCGACACAAGAGGACATGAGGGTAACAGTAGGCAGTAATGAATACAGCTCAATTAGGTTTCTTGATATGCAAAACATGTACAGTACTGTGCAACTGTGAGAGGACAGCCCTTCATTTATTTCATTTCCACTTAAAATGGCCATTACATACAAGTTATTCAGAGATATGTTGGGGAGATTAAATAGAAGATAATCCACTTGCATAAACAAGGAGAAAGTCAAAAAAAAGGAAAAACACAGAACTTTCAAAATGCTTAAAAGCTGCAGAGAAAATAAGGCTCCTATCAACCACCTTCAAGACCTGAAAGACACCAAAACTGCCCCATTCAGATAAACAGCACTTAAAACTTTCATCTTTGAGAGAGAGGAGAAAATCAAGCTGCTTCAGATCTGAAAACATCCACAGGTGTTTCTGTCCATCCTTCCACTGTGAGAAGACAACTCAGCACTATGGGTCTGAAAGGATGTGTAGCTGTCAAGAAGCCTTACTGAGAAAAGGAGACAGACACATCAAACAAAGAAGCTGAACAATGGACTGACCACCCCAGAGTCCAGACCTCAACATCACTGAATGTGTTTGGATTACTTCAGAAAATGATCAACCAACTTCTAAGACTGAACTTTGGACGTGTGAACAAACATCCCTACACATGGGCGATTTATGGGAGGGGGGGTGGTTGGTGTTAAGGGGGTATTCGCTCCGGTCCAGCTAATCAGCGTTCTGAAGAGGTTAGACATATTTCAACTTACTCGCCGCAGACATCAGAACGAGATCCAATTCATGGCATTAAAAACTGTGTGAACTTTATTGAGAAAGCCTAGTCGCACTGAACAACGTTCTCAGCTCTAGAACACACACTGAAGTGGACCTGGCATTTAATTGTCGTCGCTGTGGACTTCCCAAAGAGGACACGAGTGCAGAGCTGTCCCTCTTCAACACTATGCCATCAGAAGAAATTGGCTTCGGTTAACAAGTAACACTGTTTGAAGCGTCAGATTTGGGCGATAGCCTAGTAAACTTCAGTAACCTCTTTAAATTGACCGTGCCAGTGAGCAGCGCATCACGCGAAAGGAACCTTTCTTGTTTATGTCAACTGAAAACTTACATGAGAAACTTGAAAATTATGATATTATATTTAGTGGTGGCGTCTGACTTTTGCACAGTACTGTCTATATTCCCCACTACAGTTCACAAGGACTACTCACCTTGATTATCTTGATCTCATACTGAATCATCTTCTGGTAGGGTGAAGAACTGTTGCTTGGAGATATGATCTTCTCTCCAGATATCTTAGCCCGGATCACTAAACAGAAGGGGTCAGTTATAATGATGTGGTGTAGAAAGCACTGGAATCTAAATGTTCTTTACAGACATTGCTGCAGATTACATGTTCCCTATACTGCACCATCTGGTACTGAGGAGACCATCATCCATCAACCTGTAGGTGATAAGGTCTTCCTTTAAGCAGCAATCAGAGTATTTCACAAAGTCTTTGTCAGCTTTAACAGATTTCCCTGGTGTAGAATTGAACAAGCAGATGCATTAATGCACACAATGCCCTCCATAAATATTGGGACCTCTGGTGAACATGAGCAAAACAGGCTAAAAAAATATTTTTTATTGCTGGTCTTTTGATCTTTCATTCAAAATGTTAGTGCAATGATTAAAAAAACATTCTTATCTAAAAATGATATTGGAACCTCTTCATTTAATGCTTTATTCGAAGGTTATTTACAGCCTGTTTTGCTCATGTTTAATAGGTGCAGGGTCAGGCAGAATACTTTAAAAAGATGTGATGATTAAATACTGAATACACTGTCCTAAATACATGCAGTAACATATTCCATTTCAGTACATAAAAAGTAACATATCCAGAATACACTTAGAACATGTATTGATAAGGCACTTATCAATACGTCAATCAATACTACTCAGGCTTTAGCCGAGCTCAGTAACACTGAGATTAATAACTGATCATATTGATTTATTGGTCTACTCAGGCTTTAGCAGAGCTCAGTAACACTGAGATTAATAACCGATCACATTGATTTATCAGTCTACTCAGGCTTTAGCAGAGCTCAGTAACACTGAGACTAATAACTGACCACATTGATTTATCAGTCTACTCATTTTTTTTTATTTAGTGGGCAAGCATTCTAAAAGTATTCTCCTAAAAAATTAACTGTATTCTAAATACTGCCTTTACAAAATGTAACTTGGACTGAATATGTGTTCCGAATACATATTACTGGACTTGTATTCTGATACATTCCAACCCTAACCAGGGATGCCAGTATCTGTAGAGTGCACTGCATATTATCTTTATATTTTCACTTTACTTTAAACAGAGGCTTAAAAGTTTTAGCCCTCTGAGATTAACCTGATTTATAAATGCTGGAACTCAGGCTCCCTGCTTTTTGGCAGGAGGACAGCTGAGATGCTGGGATGCTGCTCTGGCAGCTGATTACGTGGGAGAGGTGTTATAGGGATGTTCTGTACAAATGCTGAAGGAATTTGTCTGTCATTACAAGCTCATTTTTGCCATTCCATGCCTCGCTGTTTTCGAACAAAAGGGCGGAATGCTAAAGCCAGCTGGGTGGACTACCCTCTGTGAGGCCTGTGGCTCCCTTCCAGCTCATGGACCAACTTTCACACCCTTAGAAAGGGAGAGGCAAAGTCTTTTATAACAGCCCAGCTGGACATTTAACAAAGCATACATCCAAGGCCTACTTCTGGGCTTCAGGGAGGAGAGTTAGCTTTAAGGGAAATACAACGAGATGCTGGAGATTCGTCAACATATGAGTTGAAATGAGCAGTTGCTGTGGGAACAAAACCATAGAGATTTTCCAGAAAGGTAATATTCTTAAACTTTTAATGTTAGTTAACAAGATTGAGTCTGAGTCATTTTGGACCATTTTTGTTGGCCCATTCATCTGCATTCTTCAAATTTTGACACTGTAGCTGGAATTTTTCATTACTTTCAATTATATTTTTCAAATTTTCCAAAAAGCATGACAAAAATGGAGAAGTTCTGTTCTTAAAGTGACTATAGAAGAATATAAATGCTGTCACTATCAATTATGTTAATAACACAGCAAAATATCTATTATTTCGGTAATTATTTGAGTAATCAGTTTTAAAAATGGCCAGACAATTAAACTAGACCGAACCACAGCCTTTTTTAAAAATCTAAACGTCATTTAAAAATATATAGAAAAAAGAAAAAAATTATTAACACTGTGTGTGTGTATATATATATTTGTGTGTATATATACATATTTGTGTGTATACATACATATTTGTGTGTATACATATGTATTAAAATAAGTACTAATAATTATAATAATAACTGGGAACAAACCAAATCTACAAATTTTGCTTATTTGCTGAGTTCAACATACTTAGAAGAAAATAAAAAATAAAATATAAGATGTACCATAACTTTTAACGTTTTATTTTTCCCCAATATGTTAAATTCTGCCAACAAACAGTATCTGTGCATTAAAATGTGCAGAAGTGCGTTCTCTGTAGAGGATGTGTTCACTTATTTTCACTTAGAAAAGAAACAAAACATGTCATTTGACCAGGCGCACCCAAACTTCTGCATGCGACTGTACATGTTCATTCACTGACTAGGATTTAAAAAAAAAAATCTAAATATATTCCACAGCTAATTTGTTGTGAACAAATTCACATGGCTGTTCCATTAGGCCTCATCTTGCCATTAGCTAAGACCAGATGGGTGGACATTAGGTTCTAGATTCTAATGGGAAATGGGTGGGCCATAATGGCTAGACCATACGCTCTCGCATGGAAAGACTGGCAGTAAAAGCCAAACTGGCAAAGCGCTTTAATATACCAATGTCCATATTTCAGTGTGTCTGAATACAGCCTAGTAGCCAGTGTCCAATTTGGTCCCATTTATAGTGCTAACAAGCGTCTGTGCTCCCATGCTGTGGTTGAATTGAAGGGCCAATTCGGTAATTGTCACTTGGCATCTCAATTACTATTGTAGTAGACAAAATTAAACTATAAAGAGAGCTTTATCATTTTACTGCTTTAAGTGCTTGTAATAATAGCAGTTTTTTAAAGGCCCCTGATCTTATCAGAAGAGCTTGTGAACCATTGACTAGGAGTACATATACAGTACAATTACTCACCTATTTAAATAGTAATATGGAATACAGGAAATACATTGATTTGTCCCATATGACCATAGCTTTGTGGACATTCCAGGTTGGGTCAATACAAAAACTACAAAACCACAGTCCTAAAAGTTCAGTAACAGTTCACTGAAGGGCATCATTCATAAACCACACGACACCTACATAAGCCTTTCAAAACAACTGATATAAACCTGTATAAACATTTATAAAGGTTAATTCCAACAAGAGCCACTTGCTGAGCCGAAAAGGCATCGGAATTGACTAAAGCAGCCTTTACGACAATTGACACTTGTTAGAATAAGACTTTATAAATGTTTATGTACGTTTATGTCAGCTGTCATGAAAGGCTTATGCCTGTGTCACGAATGCTGCGCTTCAGTAAAGTGTTACTAAAAGGTGCCACAAAGGGTTCACTGTTAATTGCTGACAGGATTTTACAATATTATACACCATTTTTCACTCTGAAATACTGTATTTATCATTTTATTGTGAAATCAACAGATATTTTCTGTAATAACAGCACATTACTGTAAGAATGACTTTAAGCTGTGTTACACAACATCATGGAATAACACACTGAAAAAACACTTTCATAAAATATTTTTAGTCATTTCTATGCCCATTATAAGCAAAGGTAAACTATCTGAAAAATATGTATTTGCATTTAAAAATAAAGTTGATAAATGTTAAATTTATCTTTTACTATATTTGAATTCTCTTTACAAAATACCTCATTTTCATATGCAAATTTACAGCAAATTTCTGGCTACAGAGTTGTATTACTTTTATAGTTGTGTAAAAATACAGGAGTTTACTGTATTTTAATTACAGTGTGCAGCAAAATAACAGCTACATCACAGTAATCTTGTGGTGCAGGTGGGTGTGGAGTCACAGTATACAGCTGGTATTTTACAGTTATTTACCATTAATATGGTTCAGTAAATTACAGTGAAAGTAATGCAGCTAGTAACCAGTAGTTTAATGTAATAATAAAGTTTAATTTTTAATAGTGTTCTTTAAGCAACACCTAAACAGAACCACTTTTGATTCCCTAATAGACCATGTTTGAAAAACAGATTTGTTCGTGTTAAAAACCTTCACACAATGCAAAGCCTCTTCCTAGAACATTTACATTATGTGGAAGTTCTTTAAACCTTAAAAAGGCTCTCCACATTTACAGAAATAGAACTATTCACTGAAAGGTTCTTTAGGGGATCAAAATTATTATTTTTTAAGGCAAATTTCTGAAGAAGGTCATAAACTACAGTGAATATCTTGCAGTACTGTGAAACAGTCAGAGACCACTCCTCCTTACCCTGCATTCACACCGGCAATGATGCGATGCGACAAGTCGGCCGGAGGTCATTTATTAATTCATTTTTAATAAGAGTGGGCAATTTCTGGCGACAGGAGGCAGCGTGAACGTTACGGAAGTCAGTGACGCGACAAAGTTGACCAGATTCTAAAACTATTTAGAAAAACTAACTTTATCCAAATGATGAGCGAAACAATGTGGCGACTACCAATAGGAATTGAGCATTGAGCAGCGTAGCACATGCTTTATCTCCGCCACTGTGATTGGTTCCTAGATAATTGTTCCTACTAGAGATGGATAATGGCAGTGGTGCTTTCGCCGCAAATATACAGTAATCACAAAGACCAAATACTGTTTTCCTCACATACTGACTGCACAGACACAGGGAATAATTAAAAATAAGCACATAAGTGAACGGAGGGTCATTTATTTTATTTCCAGTCAAAATGACCATTTAGTATAAGTTATAGATTGTTTTTTTCAGTGTTTAGTGAGTTCACTCTGCCTTTTAGATCTTGCAGTCTTTTCAGGAGACTCGCTTTCAGCTTTTTACAGGATAAAGGTTTGCATTTTCTGTTGATGTTGAGGTCTGGACTCTGGGGTGGTCAGTCCATTGTTCAGCTTCTTTGTTTGATGTTTATGTCTCCTTTTCTCAGTGAGGGCTTCTAAACAGCTACACATCCTTTCAGACCCATAGTGCTGCAGTGGCTGATGGGGGGCAGTTTTGGTGTCTACCAGGTCTTCCAGGTGGTTGTTAGGAGCCCTTTTTCTCTGTAGCTTTTAAACATTTTTTAAACTCCAGTTTTGGAAAGTCCTGTTCTTTTCCACCTATTTTCTTATGACTTTCTCCTTGTTTATGCAAGTGGATCATCTTATGTCTGATCTTTTCTGAAACATCTCCTAACAAATAAATAACTTGTACTTAACGGTCGTATTTCAGTAAATGAAGGGTGGTATCGGACTTTTGTGCAATACTGTTTGCGTTTTCCTTTCTGTTAAAAATGAACAAATTAAAAACTAAAAGTTTAACCTTCTTCTACTCCAAACTGAAGGCAGTTTTTCTGTCCTCTCTGCTCGTTGTGTTTGTGAGGACACAGATTGTGAACTGGCCTGTTTCTTTTGGCAGATGGAGAGACAGAGAGTTCAAGCAGCGAAGTCTGACATTGTTTTCAAACACAGTTCATCTCAACTTTCTCCAAAAGGCTCCAGCACAGCCTGGAACTTTACTGTGTCTTTGCATATTACCACAAGACCAAAACTTGTGGTTTGAAGATGAAGTATTAAATCCCGAATGCTGCAAAAGTGCAGATTTTTTGGTTTAAACTAAATTTATTCTGACCCTAGATTTCTAAACCACTGCACCACACAGTAAGCAGAAGTGTCAACACTGTCATGCACTGCGATAAAAAGATATCTAAGAAAGAGAAAACATCTAAAATCTAGTCAACATATCTAATACTTCTCATTTATGAGATTGCTGTAAGAATATTAACTCACTTTTTTACTTGTTTATGTAATTTTATCTAGTGAAAATGGAGTATTTGCACTGCAAAAATGGTAAAATTCTCTTAAATCTAATCAATAAACCTAATATTTCTCCTGTTGAGAATGTTGTAAACTTAATTTAAGATTATTTAACTTATTTCCAAACTTTTTTACTTGTTGTAAGTGATTTTATTAAGTAAATTTATCTCACTTTATTGGCAGATAATGTTGCTTGTTTTTAAAAATGGGCTTGAAACCAGCCAAATTATCTGTCAGTATAGTGGGATCATTTTTCTTGATAAAATTACTTAAAACAGGTCTAGAAATAAGCACACAACCATTTCAAAATAAGAAATATTAGATAGGTCAACTAGAATTAAGATCATTTTACTTGACAAGATACTATTTTTGCAGTGTGATACAAGTAAAATGATCTGCCAATGGAATCAGATATGTTTAATAAAGAAATGGACTGAAAATGTAAAAAAATGTACAGAAATAATCTACATAATCATATGATATTCTTACAGCAATCTCACAACATGAAATACTAGGTATATTGACCACATTTAAGATGTTTTTGCTTGCTTAGAATCCATTCTTGCAGTGTGCAGACATCATTGAATCGTTAGGCCAGTAAATCTCTTGCTTTATTGGCTCATTGAGTTCTAATGTTATCAAATCATAGATTATAGACTCTATATTTAGTTGTCATATAAGCATTTTAAGCACCATATTCTGCATTTTCTGTCGGTTTCAGTTGAAAATTAATAAATGTGGCAGCTGTATGTTTCAATAATAGAACAGATAGTACGGATGAATGTTAGTCTTTCTGAAGGTGCAACACCATCAGATGCTCTCAGACACTCATGGATGTACAATTCTATAACAATTTATAATATAGAACCGATGTGGAGGTTCTTCAAACTTTGTAAAGTTTCACTTTGCAGTCGCACATCTTGTTTTCCATAAGGGTTCTTTAAATAAACATCCATTAGGAACAAAAAGTGGATCTTCTACACTTTTGAAAAAAAGGTTCTTCAAAGGTTCTTTAGTAAGGCCAGTGGTTATATACAAAAGTGTGACAACTCAAAGGACCATTTGAATGCTTAAGTGGTTCTCAGCATGGTCAAATGGTTCTTCTCCATCATTGAGAACTTGTTGTATTTGGTTGTTTAATGAACCAGTTGAACATCCTATTTAAAAATACAAATCATAGAAGCTTATTTCTGTAAAACAATGTGTTCAGAGCTACACCCAGTGCATTAATAGAGACAGTAATAAACAATATATACAAAATGATCATTTTAGGGTACTTTCTATTGGGAAATGTCTGTCCCTCCCAACCCCTAAATTTACACTACTAAAAATAATACTTCTTTTATTTTTGCATTTTTTCAGTGTTATTTTTGAAAAGAGCCTTTTGATTTCCTTAATTTTTAAATAAAAAACTTCATTCCAAAAATGCTGTCCCATTTTTTCATATCACTACCGAAACACTGAGTTTTAGGCTGTGGGTGGGGCCTTATTTTAGCCATGCCCCTTCATTTTAGAGCACGAAGTGAGACTGCATCCCTGTCCCTCATGGCCACATGAGATCCCATTGTTTTGAAGTAAAAGCGTCCCAAAGTCTGAAAGTCAGTGTGGAACATTAAGAATTGTCACTACCGAAACACATATTATTAATGTTTTAATGAAAAATATGATTTTCAAAGCTGTGTTTGCTGGTCATGTACTGGCTAGTGTTTTTGAGTTCTGCTTGAGTTCTGTTTTTTTGTTGTCACTGCTGAAACAGTCACTACTGAAACATTTGGTAAAGTGTTGGCAGTGTTGTGATCATTTTGTTAATGACAAAGTGGAATGTTCAATTATTTATTTTAATGGAATAAACATAATGAAGGTATAGGGTCACTCAAAGCGAAAGGATGTTAGTTTAAAGTCCAAGTCTGTTATAAGTCTGAAATATGTGTTCAGCTCTGACTTTGAACCAGTTCAGTAAAGTGATCCGTATAGAACCTCTTCATGCTAAGAATGGCTCCAAAGAACATTTGTTAGTAGTGCTCATAAACACATAACTGTGTACTGCATTGTGCATCTGCAGTAATTCTGTGTGCACCAGTAATTGGGATTAAAAATGATTAATTAACTAGTTTAGATTGATTCAGATGAGCTTTGTTTTGGTGGGTAATCTTCAAGGACCTATAGCCTACATTTATCTTATAATACATTATTTCCCCCTGAGGTCCACTTATAGGCCTATGTTTATTTAGGATTATGTGGGTTTACGGTCGTAATGACCGCTTTCCAACCTCTCTTTAGTCCTTAGAATTAAATCAGGGGTGTCCACTCATATCCGCAAAGGGCCAGAGTGGCTGCATGTTTTTATTCCAAACAAGCAGGAGCACATCTGATTCTAAAAAAACATGCAGCCACTCTGGAACTTTGCAGATATGAGTGGACACCCCTGGAGCAGGAGCACATTTGATTCTACCTGATTTATCAGTTAATCTCAGTCTTAAACAATAGATCAGATGTGCTCCTGCATTAATAGAACAAAAAAAACCTGCAGCCACACCGGCCCTTTGCAGGTAAATTAAACTGTAAATTAAAATCGTCAATACTATACTATATACTATACTACTAGACTACTATATGTGCTTTGATGAGCTTTGCTCTGATTGGCTGCACGTTCACAAAGCAGTCCGGGATGAAACACTACTTATAACTTCAGCGTGAATGGGTGGAGCTAAACTGCTATAGGCTGTAAAGACAGATATATGTGAATGTTTTTGTGACATAAAAAAAAAACAGTACATTCAAAACAGGCTGTGTTTGCGGCTTATATGAATCGTTCTACCGAAATGGTTCAAAGTCAGAGCTGAAAACACATTTCGGGCATTTCACTGACTTTGAAGTCCTTTGGCTTTGAGTGACCCTATACCTTAACTATGTTTATTTTATTAAAACAAACAAATTAAAACAAACAAATGAACATTCCATTTTGTCACCAAAATAATCAACACTACCGAAACTTTTCCAAATGTTTGAGCAATGACTGTTTCGGTAGTGACAATTTTAGCTCATTTTGACCCGAAATTAAAAAATGCACACCTGTACATGACTAACAAACACAGCTTTAAACAGTCACACATGCATAAATTCTTAACATTTTTCATTAAAACACAGTAACATTTCCTTAAATGTAGAAAATATGTGTTTCGGTAGTGACAGTTCTTAATGTTCCACACTGATGTTCAGACACTTACTACAAAGCAATGGTATCTAGCTGCTCACCGTGTGGCCATGCAGTCTCACTTCCTGCTCTAAAATGCAGGGGCTTAAATAGGGATCCGCCCACAGACTAAAACCTTGTATTTCAGTAATGACAATTCTTATTTTTCTGCACTGATTTTCAGACTTTGGAACACTTTTGCTTTAAAACAGTGGGATCTAACTGCTCACCATGTGGCCAGGGATGCAAGTCTCACTTCCTGCTCTAAAATGTGGGGGAGTGGCTTAAATAAGGCTCTGCCTACAGACTAAAACTTTGTGTTTTGACATGAACATAAAATCTTTGGGTAGCATTTTTTGTTTGGTTTTTAGCTTCACTCGAAGGAAATCAAAAAGATCTTTTTTATTTAAAAAGAGAAAAAAATGAATGCATTGCGTTGAAATATGTCATAACATAATCCTTATAAAGATCTAAGGTTTGAATACTTCCTTGTTATTTTGTATTTTTTTTCTCTGGGACCACAGTTTAATTCATTAGAGTGGTCAACATAGACTGAGGGGTAATTGTTATGTTTTAAAACTTGGTAAACTTAATAGTGTTTACATACAATCAAATGTTCTGAGTCAAAGTTTTTACTAAAAAAAAGCAAGGAAAATTAAGGTTTGGAGGAAAACTGTTAGGAGAACAATTCCCGAGAGAATTATTGGAAAATTTCAGGTTTATCAATGAAGCTTGAGCTTTTCAATTGAGACTGAAAATGCAGTCATTCAAGTCATGAGATTGTAAGTAGAGTCATTCAACTAGTACTGAAAAGTGATTAGATTGAGATTCCAGTGTTAAATTCATTCAGTTGAGACTAAAATGACAGCAGTATTCATTTTGAATTGTGTCCTTGTACATAAACACACCATTCAACCGCAGACCCAGCCAACCTGTTATTATCACCTCCACTAATCCACTCCAGTGTGGCACGTACCTATTTCAGACTGGCAGAAGTGCTCTTGCGGATGTGCGGGTTGGCAGGTACATCCCTCAGCCCCCCGATCCATCACGCCCAAGGCCAGGAGGATCACCAGCCGCAGCCCCACACAGTCACCCAGCGGGACACCCATGCTCACTCTCGCTCGGCCCGTCGCTTCCTGTGAGCGTCTCAAACAAAGTAGATGTCCAGGGGCGAGGATAAACAACAGGGCAGACTAAAACTGGCACTGGACGAGAAAGAAAAAAAACTCTCTCTCTTTCCCTGGCCTTGACTGTGACACTTTTATCCAACGCCCCACAGCTCTCTGTCCTTCTCTCTCTCTCTCTCTCTCTCTCTCTCTCTCTCTCTCTCTCTCTTTAGAGCTGTAAAAAAGCGAGGGAAAGAGAAGCTCTTATGTAGCACTCATCTTTGACTGCAAAGGAGGACCGCCCCTAAAAGCCCGAAAGGATCGCCCCTCCTACAGAGTGGCCACTAGTTATGTGAGAGCTGAGGTTTACATGAGGAAAAAATCAGAAAAGAACATAATATGATATAACAATTTGATATATTACATATAATAAACAGGGCACAATGCTGTTACTTGCATTATGCATTATAACTACACTCTTAAAAAATAATGGTGACATAAAGGATTCTTTGGGACCATAGAAGAACCACTGTTAACCTTCCAGTGATTCTAAAGGTTCTAAAGAATGGTGTGTGTGAAGAACCTTCTTATGTTTAAAGATCTTCCACGTCAGTATTTATCTACTGATATAAGGTGGTTATTTAATCTATTTTTTCCACAGCAGCCATGAAATGCAATCTAGGCTGTTCAGTTTTTTTCATCAATAATGTTGATGAAATATACTGACTGTCCACTTCATTAAGTCCACCTCCTTGTTTATGCACTTATTGTCCATTTTATCAGCTCCACTGACCATATATGATCACTTTGTAGTTCTACAGTTACAGACTGTAGTGCATTTCTTTCTCTGGTCAGGACCCTCACAGGGATCCCCACAGAGCAGGTATTATTTTGGTGGTGGATCGTTCTCTGCAGAGAACGCAGTGCAGTGACACTGACATGGTGGTGGCGTGTTAGTGTGTGTTGCGCTGGTACGAGTGGATCAAACACAGCATATACATATACATACAATGTTTTTTGTTTGTTTTAATTTAAAATATCTAAGTAAATTTCCAGTGGAAAGGTCACTAGTTGGCCTGCAGAAAAAGGCTGTTGTCCTCTAAATGTTGTTCTTGCAACATCTTGCTTTGACTAGTACACAGCCAAGCATTTACAATGATGAATGTCTCCTGAATGTTGTAAGCGAAACATAATTTCAGCCCAGATAGTGGACTTGTTTGTAACATTCATTATGTTCCCAGTACATCCGCCTAACATTTTGTGCCTGACGTTATTCAGTGGACCGAAATAGAACATCTGCTGATGTTAAGACCCTTGTTCACTGGGAGGGAATCAAAATAAAGTTACTGCTATAACTGTTTAATTACTACGTTGGATGGGTCTCTTCACAATTACAGTCACACAACAAACAAGGCTGCGAGCAAAAACCTGCTAACAGTGTGCAGTTATGCTAAATGGCTGAGCAGAGCTAGTAATATTACTAGTAATATGACCTTTAATTTGTTTTATTTACTACGACAGAACAGCCCAAGAACTTCTCATGTGTTTTGCAGTAATTCCTTATGAGACTGAGTTTATTATCCGGTCCACAACTACAGTTTACTTAAGTGATTCATTAACCCTGCCTATCATTAATTTAGATGTTGCATGTCTCAAAGTCATTTGCTGTTCTCCTCCCTCTGTTGATAGATTTGATCATAAACCACACTGTATGAGTGCATACAAAATCCATCCAGTCCCTCTTTTTGAATATTTGATGTCTTTGCCCTGGAGATCCACTGTAAGTGCTTTGATATGGCTGTGCAGTTGTGAAAAAAATCTGCTTTGGTTTCATAAATCACTCAAATCTCTTTTGTATTTATTTGAAACAGAGTTCTTAAACAGAATTACGGTGCTGATAATATCGAAGAATTAAGAATGCAAGAAAGTCTGTTCAGTAGTTCCTGGTTCTTGTGAAATGGGATCACTGACCAGTGCTAATATTTACATACCATAAACATTAGCGTCAATCCAGGGCATGGACGACTAAAGCCAAACAGTAGACCTCTATTATACTGTCTGTAGATTTATTACGCCTTTAAGTCTTCATAAACACAGTGTTTTCATCTAGATATATCTGCTTCCTGGTCGTGTTGTCACCTTCAACTGAGTTAAACACTGATACAGGAGTTTGAAAGAGTTCAACCCACAATGTAATCAGTGTATATTAACATCACAATATATATTAATAGCCAAAACAGTCTAAAAGTATCTCGACACCCTTTTAAATAGTTAATTTTGCTGTATCCATTGCTGACACACTCACAGCTTGTATCATCTCCATAGAAAAGCACTGACGAATAAAATGGGATGTTCTGAAGAACCTACATGTGAGCCTAAGGTCACCATGCTCAATGCCAAATGTGGGCTAGAGGGGTATAAAGCCCCCAAGCATTGGGCTGGGGAGCAGTGGAATGCTCTTGTGGCTGTATGCAATCAGATCTTTATAGCAGTGTTCTTTAATCTAATGTAAAGCCTTCCCAGAGGAGTAGATGGGGTACAAAGCACAACCCACGTTACAGCAGAGCCAGTTTATGAGGAGCCTGGCCTCTTCATATTTCCACCATTAGGTCAAAAACAGGACTGCAAACAGGGAAAAACAGGGAGAGCGAGTCCTCAATGAATGGGGGTGAATGGAGCTAAATGGCTAAAAATGAACAGTCAAAATAGTTTAGAATCACTTGCCTAGAACTTTCCTTTAATTTTAGGAAGTAGAAGGATGTATTTCACTAAAAAAGCAAAGAAAACTCACCTGTATGTTTCCTTTGTTCTACAGCAAACGGGTTTTGGGCAGTACAACGCTCACATTACTGCTACTGAGTGCTGATTGGTTGGTGAGCGCAGCAGCTTATTGGCTGTTCTCGCTCACTGACGTCATGAACATACATCAGACACAGTAATAAACTCCTATAACTCGAGTTTAAAAGCTCTTAAAAATATAACAGCGGTTTTAAAATGTGTCCAGGAAATGAATGTATTCCTTTATATAAAAAATGTAGTATTTATAAACAATGACTTTACTCAGTTGCTCCATCTTAACCCATTTGTTTTGGACTCGCTCAGGAGCGCCCTCTAGCATTTGAGAAACCCAAAAGACATTACAGGGAGGTAATTCTCCTCTCTACAAGTTCTCTTGTTACAGTTATAAAATGTTCTTACACATTTTCACCAGAGAGGTCTCCAATTCCCCAAAACATACATAGTGCAGCTTTAAGGAAAAGTAAAGAAGTTTAATTCATAAAGATAACTTTCAAAGGGTTTGAATACTTTTGCAAGGGCTGACATTGAGCTAAACTGAGAATTTTAAAAAGTATACAAATTGTCTGGGAATGCAGCAAATGAAACAAACCACCTTCCTATTGAAAACAGGCAAGGTTGAAAGCAGTTTTTCTTCTGATGTGTTTTGCAGATTTCCATGCCTACATTCCCAGTGGTGGTGAAGATCGGACATGCTCACTCCGGAATGGGGAAGGTAGGTCACGAATTCTGAAGTAGAAAGTTTTACCTCTGATTTTGTTGCATATAGTACAGTAATAGCATATTTATAATTAGTAATTTATCATGTTGCTTTTTTTTACTTTAAAAGATTGACATAACAGCTCAAAAACGCAGAGTAATTGTGATGTTTTTCTCATAACAGGTTAAAATTGACAATCACAGTGACTTCCAAGACATTGCCAGTGTGGTTGCCATCACTCAGACTTACACCACTACAGAACCTTTCATTGATGCAAAGTACGATATCAGGGTCCAGAAGATCGGTACCGACTACAAAGCTTATATGTAAGTGCATACAAGAGTGACCAGTATGGTCTCTGAACACTTCTACAAACCTAACAGATAAAAGTCATTTTCATTCAAAGGGCTCTTTGAGTATAATGGTTCTATATAGAACCCATTTTCTCTACTAATGAACACTTAAAGAGCCACCTTTCTAAAGAGTGTATTGTAAAACAGTGTCTCAGGTATCAGGCAGTGTATTTATGACCATTTCATGTAAAACTCTTTGTGAGGGAGCTTTTAGATGTGGACGTCTGGTTCCTATCACCACCACTGTGAACAATTCTGACTTTGTAAGTTTCTCTAGAACAGAGCGTTTCACACCAAACCACTCTGAATGACCCTGCTTACATCATAACAAAAAAAAATTTATATTTATTTATAAAGCACCAGACAAGTAATGTAAAAACCATCCAGTTGCTGGTTCATTTACAACATTGTAACAATAAAATAAATGTTTTAAAGTCGTAGTTCATAGAAAAATAAAATGTACACAGTGTTCCTCAAATACAGTCGATCAGCTAAGACATGTTTGGTGTCTGAAGTTTGCTTGTTTAGTTTTGCACTTGAGCTACAAGACTAATGTAGCTAACAAGTAATGGAAGCTTATATCTCACCAATTAGCATTGTGCTAACCGCATGCCCAAATCATCACACTCTCTCCAGCTGCTAATCTCACTGAACAATTACTGTAAAGCACTGAGACATCAGACCTCAAACGACAGAGACATTTATTGCTTTCAGTGTTTCATAATTTTGATGTTTTTTGTTTGTTTGTTTGTTTTTGTTTGTTCACAGGAGAACATCCATTTCTGGCAACTGGAAGTCAAACACCGGTTCTGCAATGCTGGAGCAAGTAGCCATGACTGAAAAGTGAGTGCTCGTGTTCAGACACGTGGCCTGAAGTTACACGCGGCTGTAGTGGTTTACAGTTTTATCTGAGAAACATCTGGCATAGATATAAACTTCCTCCCGGCTGGGGAATAATGGCGTACCTGATTCAGAAATAATGATTGTTTGATTGAGTTTAATTGGGCACAGCATGTGTAAAATTCAGTGCTTTGAAGGAATTGCATAAAACACACCTGGACTTTGTGAATAAACATTTCGCTGCACACATGTACGAAAGTTCTATTATCAACAGAGTCAGACACGATAAATGTTAGAACATGTGTGTGTGTGTGTGTGTGTGTGTGTGTCTCAACTGTGCTCAGTTGTATGCAAAAGTTTGGGCAACCCTGGCCAAATCACATATTTTGTTGATATATTTCATTAAAAAGATGAAACACAACCACTGCACTATTTTTTACATTTCTGCAAATGTTACTTTATATTTGATTAACTTAAATAAATAAGCATTTTTATTATGTGCAAACATTGGAACACCCTTCTAGTATAGTCTAGTAAAATTGGCCCTAATTAACTTGTTAGGGCTCATTAGGCAGGTCAAGAATCATCATCG